GCCTTGTCCAGTTCGATCGGTTGCAGGCAATTTTATACGACAACTTCTAGACAGTATTCGCTGAGATGAGGAGGCTTTGATGAAGGCCTTAATTGAGCAGTTCCATGATTCCGAATATGATGGACAAGCTCAAGAGGATATCCTTTCAATTATGTGTACTATCGAGCAAAGAGACAAAACTGTGTTTGCCTATTCCCAAAAGGTTCTTAAATTACTTCAACGGAAGCTACAGGATTTACGACAATATGATAAGATTTTGATCCAGTACTATATCAATGGGCTGGTAAGTCAACATCTCCGGGAGATGGCAATTTTGACTTTCTTGAGATCTAACTCTGATGAGAGCTCAGCACAAGTTGTTAAAGGAGTGATGCGGTTGGCGAGACAATTGAAAATGAAAGGTTATAGAAAGGTGGGACGGAGTGATGATGATTCTGATGAGAGTGATGATGAAGAGTTCGAGGACTCTGGAGATTCTGACAACTACTCTGATTCCAATGATCAAAGTGATTACAAGTATTCTAAGAGATCTACTAGGAGATCTGAGAAGAGAGGTAGACATTCTGAGGAAAAATTAAAGAGAAAATCCAGAAAGAGAAATTACTATCAAAAGGAAAGCTCTATTCGAGAAGATGTTGATAAATTGCGGGAAATGGTCAAAACTTTGATGAAGGCTAAGACACCCCCCTTCTTAGATGATAAACATATGACTTTAAGACAAAATCAAGATGTTATACCACTGGATAACTATGCTTTAGAACGTTCTTATGGTTATATCCCACAGCAAGGTCAATACGCCAATCGACAGCAAAGATCTGGTTATTCTATGAACCAACATCCTGAGTTGCCAAAACACAGATCAAGTCAAATGGTTCAAAACTTTGAAGAGGGAATGGATAGGCCTTCAAGCCACATTACACGCAGTTCAACTTATACAGGAACACCTTCAAGAGAGCCTATTGTTGGACCAAATAGTATGTTGTACTACCCTGCACGTAGTAAACTAACTTGTTATAATTGTGGGCAGGAGGGACATATTTGTCCTCATTGTCCTAAGTTGAGAGACTTCAATGAAGCAGCTAGAGCAGTTCACTTTATGCAGGCTCTACCAATACGACAGCCAGGGGGTAGTGGTCTACAACCATCACAGTTTATAGAGCCTCAACAACAGGAAAAGTCAGTTAGTGCGATTGAGGTGACAGCTATGTCTTCGGCTTTGGATGGGGTAAAGGTTCAAGTGGAAAAGCTAGTGAAGGAGGAACGTAAGGATCTCATGGTATTTGTTGAAGAGATTATTGAGGATAGTGATGATAACCTTCCGGAGCTGGGAGTTCCTGTAGTGGCTGGAGAGCGTGCTCGCCGGTTTAGCGAGTTGCCACCAGAGTTCGAAGGAGAAGAGGGCCTGGCAAGTCAACGGCAAAGAATTCTGGAACATGGAGAAGTAACTCCAGGAGCAGAACCAATGAAGGGGCCAG